TTTCTTATGATTTGAACTACACATCTTTTTCTTTTTTTTTTGCCAGATCGATAGGGGATTATTGTAAACCAAAATACACAAGTGTGCAAATTACAGCCCATAGCTGAATAAAACAGCTAACAACTAAAAACTGGGAGGATAGGTCAGAAGACTGCCTAGAACCTCAGCTAGCCAAGCTAGAATAAAGAAAAAACTAGACTCAAACACAACTGACACAAAACACTAGAATCGCTCCCCACGGAAGAATAGAAACGGTCCCCAAGCGACAATCCCCGCACACAGGCGGCCTCACACATAACTGAGGCCAACGGCCTAAACCAAAAACACCAAACGAACATGACACAGACTCAAAACGGAAAATCAAAATAATAACCTAAACTATATAAGCCCCCCCACAACAAGAAAAATCCACTACAACCCTGCCACTGAGAGATCCACTGAGAGATCCACCCGAAGGGAAAGCAAACCGAGCCAAGCATCGAGATCTAAAACTGCGGAAAGCGCCTAACAAGGTCCGAAACTCAGAACTGAAAGCTTACTCAGGAAGAAGACCTCGCACCGATCATCGGATATCAGCCCCAAACAAGCCACCCCTACCTACCAGCAAAGAAAACCGCCGAGAACCTGAGCCCACGACCATCCCCATCGGTGAGGCCCGCCTTCCAGCCACCAGAACAACCAGCCACCCTCCACACCACCGCTGCGCTGCTTCGGCTAACACCACTAGCCGAAAGCCAGAACAACGGCCTCTCCTGACCCAACACCAGGGCAAAGAGGAAAAGGGCAAAGGGAGGCACATCTCCGACCACCCCCGCGCACCTGCAGCGAGCCGCCCAAGCCATACCTCACCCCGATACCACACCCCAACCAGGAAGCAAAGTAACGGCCTGTGTCCGAGCAACCAAGAGTCGAAACACCAACAGAGCGGCACGTCACACCGGCCACGGCCAAAACAACCAGAAGGCCAATCTTACCAACACCAGGTAAAATTAGAATTGGGGGGAGAAGGGAACCGACCTCAAAACCGACCTCCACCCGGCGGAAGTCAGAAAATGCCGCCCAACCCCCACCATCGATAAAAGGAAACGAGACGACCTGAAATCTGCCGGAGCGACACAACCCGACCAATATTCAGTCCGCCGCGAAATCCCTACCGAGGCGAGAAGCCGGGGGCCCTGACCAGCGGCTACAACGACAAAGGCGAGAGAAATCTCAGCGGAAGGCTACTGAGTAAGACGGTGATGCGGCGCAGAGAGATTAGAGTAAGAGAGAGGCGAGAGTTTTGATAAAAAAAGTATGATTTGTACTTATGTTTGAGTTTGAACTATACATCTCTTACCTACTAAATTTATGTCACATTGATAAACCAAGATAAAAAAAAAAAAAGATAAAATGAAGAAATTTGCCATTTACAGTTTGACAACCACACTCTAAATATTTTTGTGCATATTTTATAAAAAATTCAAATTACCAAATATGTCTAACTGAATTACGACGCCATAATTTATACAAACTTGTAGTGTCGATCAAGTTTTAGAAAAGTGTTGCACTTATTAAGCGTATGTTTCATAGATATAACGTGAATTTCTACATCTATATATATTGAAAGAGGTTGTGGGTGGGCCGCCTACTACTTCATTTCCTCATTCCTAGAGAACTGGAAAAATAGTGGAATTTCCGTCAAATCAATTGTGGAAAGTTGGTAAAAAGCATGGGCAAATCATTTGACTTACCTAATATAGAAATCTGATTCGTATTTTAAATTTTGCATGTATTTTTTTGCTCACGTATTTGATAAAGCCATAGATAATTATTTATGGTCAGTGGTCTATAATTTTGTATGGAGATTCAACAATAAACCCCGTTCCAATTTTAATGTTACAATGAAAATTCAAGTTGAATTCCAAAATTTGGAACGAGATCCTGATAAATTTGTTTAAGAATGTTTAAATCATTTATGGCCTACAAATTTGTTTGGAAACATACTATTAGACAAAATAGTGAAATACTATCACATATATATTTTCCTAACTGCAACGGATCAATGGCTTATTAAAAAATCGGATTGCATATAAATCGGGTTAATTTACGTAAAATTCGGCATGACAATTTTGTAAAAGTAAAAATTATCTTATTTTTTATTAAAAAAATATGTTTACCATAAAATCGGACATTTCGAATTAGGCAAAATACTATAACGTGTATCTTTACATATTGCAGCATATCATGGTTATGAAAAATATAGGATTGCATAATATTGAGTCCAATTTCAAACTAAAAATTAAAATTTAAAATCTCGTATCATTTGGCTTCTATTTTTTTATTTTGGAGTTTATGTTTTAAAACATAAAATATAGTCATATAATATTAATTTGAAATTCAAAATGAAATCGGATTGGAACATCTTAAAAATTTTGGTTTTGTTTATTCATCTGGAATACAAATTTAAAATTGATTGCATACACTTACACAAATTTTCATTTCCTTACCTTAAGTAATTTACAACTTTAAAATTATAAGGCTATATATTATCAAGAAAAACGTTTTACAATATCCGTTATATTTGGCTATGCAATCTTAATAAAACCAATATAAATCATAGCACATATATCTTGCTAAATAATTTAATTGATTTATTTAAGCCTATCTAGAATTGTAATATAATTTGTGGATGTACGTACCAAAAGATCAAACAAATAATGTTGTGTACATGTGTTTAATAATATATAAGTTACATTTTTGTTTTATTTCAATACATGCGTTTTACGATCTTCTAATCATTCAATTATCCAAATATTTAAATGCATAGCTTAATAAAACTAGCTCGTATATCGTACGGCTGTTGGTACACAGATTGGCGCGCAAGGGCAGTTAGAGAATCAAAACTACTCATCAAAATTAGAAAGAAAACCACAAAAAGAAGGGTAGAGTTTGGTTTGCGACAGCCATGGGAGCACCGCATTATATGGTCCCCTTATCTGCCCATTCCCAATTTCCTCCTCCATTTTCGCTCTTCACTTTCAAACTAACCCTTTGTTTTTTCCCCCAATTACCTTTTCCCATCTCTCTCGCATTAATATCCAGTTGATCTTTGCCTGATATTTTCTGTTTGCTATCTTTCTCTGTAATTTTGTCCTTCTTTTACATGGTTTTTGACCTCGATTTTGTTCGCGCGGTGTTGTGATCGTTGATTTTGAATTTCTCGATTGCCTTTTTGGGGATTATTTTCTTCTCATTTTCGGCTTTCCTGGTTAGATATGCTTCGGATTTTAAAGGCGAATGATGATATCGTTTGATCAACTGTGAAAAAAGGTGCTGATTTTTTGTTTCATATGCAAGAGGGAAAGATGTATTTCGCAAGGCTAGACGATTCGCCTATGTTTCGGCAGCAGGTTAACTATTTCTCCGTTCCCAGTTTAATTATTCGATCAAGAGGTCTGCCCAGTTTTGATGCAGATGATCAATTTTATGTTAGAAATTGTGATGGAGCTTTCGATTTATTCAGTTTTATGCGTGGGGATCGTAAGAAAGTAGGGGTTTATTTAACTGTCACTATCATGAAAAATCACTTTTGCTAGCTGGGGAGTTGGGTATTGAGGCTTCATGATTATTCAGAACGCGATAGTTTTGCAGTGAACTTGACATATTTGATTGTCCAGAGTCACTTGGTAGAGCAATTTCCATTAGTCTTGTTGATGCATTCTTGGGTTTTATCCGGCAAGTGGCGATTTGTAGTGATGTATCTTTTGCATGGTGTTAATTCCAGACAAAAGGAAAAAGAGGACAAATTTGCATATGTGCTGTATATAATGAAATGTAAACTGGAAAAGTTGATACCGTACAACTTATGAGTCTGATTAACTGGTGAGATGCGTATTGATGAGAAAAGAAAAAGAAGAAAAAACAAAGATATTGGAAGATGAAAGAAGGGTAGCTGCAAAAAATGGTCATGTGTACATTGGAAGTGCTGCTCTTTGTGAAAAGTGAGTGTAACGTAAACTTGTCTTCAGGGGTAAACTTGGAATGTGAGAGTCAATTCTGGTACTGCCAGTATTTTGCAAGCCGGATGCTATCTTACTGTAATTTATTATTTAAGTAATTACGTAAATTGTGTGGCTGTTTTGTGTTTTGGCAATATTTCCAGAGGTCCTAGTAAATGTATCTATTAACTTCCTTCTATGCATACACATTTAGGAACCAGTATGTTTGCAACTGAAATCTTCAGCCTCAATAAACATGCATCACTTTAATATTTCACATCACCTTGATTAACATGCGCCGTCTTGGATGAACAAGCAGATCCAATTAATGGAAGAAAGTGCAGAAATATTGAGGGACAGAAGTCTTAAGTTTCATAAAGGATGTCGAAAGTACATGTAAGTATTACGGCATGATTTTTCATGTTGCTTCATAGTTTGCTTTGACTACTTATAGTTAATCTTTATTAAATGAAACCTGTCATATTCTTTAAAGCATGAGTCTGACCTTATGTTTTCTTGACCCCCAACTTTGCAGTATCCATGTTTATGTATGTATGTACTATCTGTGTGAGTGTAAATGCACAATTCTGTGAATGTGAATGCAGATATAATAATATCGATTTTGTAGCATTCAAGCAACTGGATACTATTATTCTGCTTTCCGTATTCCAAATTTAGTATAGGTGTTACCTAAGTAAAGCATGTCTGTATTTTTCCTCTAAATTCTATTGTCAGCAAAAAATGAGAATACTACTCATTTGTAACTACCAAATATATATGATAGAGAAACTAGAAGAATTTGCATTTCTGAGTACGTCATTATATCATCCATCCACCGATCCATTTCTTCTTTCATGATTGCATCTTAATTTCTCTTCCTTTATTTGCTCGGGAGTGGAGATAGATGCTTCTTCTGTTCTGCAACATCTTTTTAGCTTGTCCTGGTACTTTGGGTGCACATTCCAAGATTTAAAGGTTGTGGCCTTAAACAGATCTTTGGATTAAATGTTCATGGTTTTACACTGATGTTGTGTTAAAAGATTTTTCTAGCTTAATTTTTTTTTTTTTTGCTACCTTCCTATTTGGAGTTCCTATAGTTGCTGACTTGCTAGGAAAATGGATTAATATCTTAATTTCCTATGCAACAGCTTGTTCTGTAGGCATCGGACGATATCTTATTTTTGCTGCCTTTTCTCCATCTTCCTGTTACTCTCATTGCGAAAAATTGGACATGCCCCTTACTTTCTATTACATTAGTCAAGCCTAAAGGATCATTATTACCATATATTGAGTTTGTGGCCTGGGCTTCCTACCTAATATGATATCGGAACTCGTTCCCACTTTTTTGTAGCTATTTGAGCTACTAAGACCAGTAAAGCCCCAATAATATTTCTTTTCAAGTGTAGCTACAATCACTCAACCCTTGCCAGGAATGAGCTCCTTGTTGTAAGTCTCTTAAGAAGAGCTTGCTCTAGTATTAGTTTAGTTGGAAAGGTTATCCCCGACCCCTTTAGGACTGAAGTGTTTAGCTCATTAGAGGCAAGATTATGGTTTATTCGAATATATACCCAATAATTTGTGGGCTGAGCAAACCAAAGGGATTAACATACCAAAGGGTTGCTGAGTAAGAAGGGATTACCTGACATTATTTCGTTTCTTACGTTTCATTGCAAAGAGTATTCTGATATGATAATAGTTTTGTGTATTTATGTATTTTTATATGTTTCTTGCAATTTGGTAATTCCAAACTTTTGTGTACAAGTTACCGATGATAAATTATTAAATAGCAATTTCTTTCCACTAACATTTCTTTATATTTCTGTTTCGATTCACAGTGATGGGCTTGGAGAGGCCTATGATAGAGATATTGCATTTGCAAGTGCACTTGAAACTTTTGCAGGAGGACATCATGATCCTATATCCGTAGCATTTGGAGGTATAGATAACAAGCTTATTTTCTTCCTATCTTAATATGGGGGGCCCTTCAAGATAGAGTTATTGTGTCTTTGCACATGTTCAAAAGCGCGATATCTCTTCCCTATCTAGTTGGCTCAAAATATAGTATTCTCATGGTGATTCAGTTGTTTCTCTTTGACAGTATGTGCTTTGGCACTGGTTAAACATCTAATATGCATGCACTTACGAAAGCCAAGTATTTATGCTCAGTGGTGAGCATGAGCTTTCAGACTTCACCGCCTCTTGAAATTTGTCAAAATTTTGATGTCGCTTCAGGTTTGGGAAGAAACTTGCTCAGATATATAATACCAAGCCAAAAATACTTCAGAATGAAAAAAATTAGTCAAACCTTTTGTGCAAGTAACACCTCTGATTCTGTAGGAAAAAAGAAAAAAAACATTCGTGCTTTAAGATGCAAAATCTTCTTCAATTTGTTACATTCGCCATGAGGAAAATTTCTTTAAGATGGCATAAGTTGTATAGAAATTACGAAGCTGTTACCTTTCTGAGATTGATCAGCTTTGTATTGGGCTCTCTGTCTTTGGAACACAAATGTCTAAATTTCATTCATTATTGAACAAGAGCACGTCTTCTTTGTACTACAAGATACTGATATCATAGTAACTAATTTGACCTGATTTTTGCACGATTTGTTTAGCTCTAGCTTCAAAAGAAAACTACCTGGAAAGGAGAAGCAAAACAAAATTACGTTATCCTACAACATTTCTTTATTTATTTTTTTTTTATAAACCAACAGAAGGAAATTATGTCGGGTTTTGATTAATGCTGCTTCTATTTTTAGGTCCTGATATGGCAAAGTTTGCAATTGCACTGAGAGAAATTGGAACTTACAAGGAAATTCTGCGAGCACAGGTATGATTTTCATCAGTGTTGTTATGAGGTTGTTCATATTGTTTCTTCCGAGAAGGCAAACTAGTAAATCTTTTGACTCACTATTATTTCACCAGTCTATTTGGGTCTTCATAAGATCATTGTTTCTTGGTCACAGGATATCTGCTTATTTTTTCTTCTCAAATTATGTGGGGATATGGTTGTACAAAGTAAATATGATAATTTATATCCTTAGTGACATAATTTTACTAACATTTTCACTTGTATCCCCTAGGTAGAGAATATGCTGAGTGACAAACTCATAGAATTTGCCACTGTTGATCTTCAAGACGTCAAGGTACTTCAAATGAAATGTCTGTTCCATTTTAGATTTTGATTGCTTTCAAATTTTATTATATGAACTATTTCTGCTGACACTGCTTTACCTATATGGCTATATATTACCATCTATATTTTTGAAAGTTTTCTTCTCGGAGATTATTTTCTAACTTGGAAAGTTTTATTGCATGCGGATTTGAATCTTCTTCTTGGGGTTCTTTGAAGTTGGAACCATCTAAGAAAATGGAGACAAATAAAGATCTTTCCTTAAGTTGCAACATGAGCTAATTTCAAATTGGAGGAATTATATTGGAGAAGCTTCTCATATTTATGTCTGAAGCTTCTCGGTGATCAGATAAAAAGGCCTTTTTGCTCCAAAATCAACCATTATCTGATCTTTTATCAGAAAGCCAATTTTTTTAAACACAATCTGCCGTTAAGATTTGGTAAGAATTGGATAGAAGCATCCAAAATTTTAAGTAGAGGCTTAAATTCATCTAGTTTTCACAAGTAGACAAATTGTTTGTTTTTTCACGAAAGCGTTAGATGAAGTATTTCTCGACTTTGTGAACACATCTTCCAAATATAAGTGAAAAGTTTTTGTAATAAAATAAAGGATGTGGAATTAGGTATTTCTGTTGATCGGTTTAGAATTTGCTTCATGTAAATTTGTGTTGAGGGAAGGTGTTGAATGTGCAGGTAAGTTATTTTGTTTTTTCTTATTCATTCTTTTGATTTATTCCACCTCCTTTTGAACTCAAGGGTTTAATAGACATTTCATAAATTTGGGTACATGTGCAGGAAGCCCACAAGCGCTTTGACAAAGCCACTGTTATCTATGACCAGGTATGGACCTATCAATGATGTAGCATTAATTCAGCAGTAAAATAATGCTTCACATTGGCTTTAGTGCTTATATAATGTTCTCCTGTCTGCATAAGATTTTCAAATTTTTAACAGTTATTTCTTCTTCATAAAAACCCTTGAATTAAGTAAACTAAACATTCCATTACATTGCATCTATAAAATTAGAACATTAATTTATATTGTACTATAGTTATGAGTACTGAGAATATTTCTCCTCTGTTCAAATTCATAAAACATGCTGGACTAACTTCGCATTCCAGGTGCGCGATAAGTTTCTTGCTTTGAGGAAGAGTACAAGGATGGACATAGCTACTGCCCTCGAGGAGGTATATGATCACTTTTTCTTTGTAAATTGGATGGATGTATCATTCTCTCTCAGGTGGCTGCAGCAGTTCACGTAGTTGTTATGGGTAACTATCAGTTCTTAAACTCTAATTTGGTAGAGAGACGTTCCAGGAACTTCACAATGCAAGATCAACTTTTGAGCAGACACGTTTTAATCTGGTACGTTGATCTATTTCTAGTTATCTATTTCAAATTATATTGTGATAGGATAGGATCATGTTTAAGTATTCGTCTTGAATTTGGTTATGTCATATGTTGATTTCTTAACCGCTCATGTCTAATGACTAGGTTAGTGCACTCTCGGCAGTTGAGGCAAAGAAAAGGTTTGAGTTTCTAGAGGCCGTTGGCAACACAATGCAGGCCCATCTTTGTTATTTCAAGCAGGTTTGTTGTCTAATGAAAATATAGTGTTTATATATTGCGGTGCATTTTTGCTTATTTGTTGATTTTGAAGTTCCTTATCTTGCCAGGGATATGAGCTGCTGCATCAAATGGAACCATATATTAGTCAGGTTCCCCTTTTTCATAATTTAGCTGCATAAATATTGGGTCGCCCCATCTTGTCAAAATAGCCTTATTATTTGCCCTGAATTTCATATTTCTAAATATTTACTTCATCGGACAAATTAAAGCAGAAACTCTTAAAAATAAAAGCTTCTTTGTCTTTCAGAGTTTTGTAGGTATTTAGTAAATATACATTTCAAGCAGTTAGCAGTTAGATCTTGTGGAAACTAGGAATTTTTAGTATTTTTTTCCTCGCATTAGTATCGTCATAAGTAGCTGATCCAGTGGAGGAAGTCGGTAAGCAGTGAAAAGTTGTGATAGGTTTTGGTAATTTCAAGAAATGCGTAAGTGACTAGTTATGATATATGTCACATGGGAGGCTGTGGTCAATAATCCACAAAGGTATAGTGAAACTATGAAAGGATTTAGCTACACCGAATCTTACTCTTAAATTTACGATAAATACTGTGGGGACTATCTACTTTATTCTGATATTGGAACCTAGCAGTAAAGATGTTAATGCTGGAAAAGGTGAAAATGCACACTTCACAAACTTTATATTGGAATATATTTACTAGATTTATGTTGAAGAGGTTAAGGAATATAACAATATACTAATACTAAGAGAAAATTGCAAATTTGGTCCCAAAACTTTTGCTGTTTCCCACATTTGGTCCCAGGCACGTCATTTATGGTCCTTTTGATATTTCGTTGCCAAAACGGTACCACTCCGTTAAGTCAACGGTCTTCTTCATTAATTATTTTTAATTTGGAGAAAATTGCAAATTTGGTCCCAAAACTTTTGTTGTTTCCAACATTTGGTCCCAAAACTTTTGTTGTTTTGAGAAGAAAAATCGAACGGTCCAAAATTAATAATCATGCGAAATGAAACTCTCGTGTTCCTCCAGTTATCCACAAAATTAAACTCAAATTCGAAGACACGGTCCCCACAAGATGAATCTATACAAAACAAAAACTCGTACCGAGTCATTCTACACATGACTTACTCGATTTAAACTCCATTTTTTCCAAATACACTTGCAAAAAGCTATAGATGGTCTACTCAACATATAATAAGCAAATAAAAACGAAACCACATAACCAACTCCCTTTTTTTTTTATATATGAGTAATTTTTTTCAAATGAGAGTCGTAGGACGATTTTTACCTAGGTTTATCCTAGGAGTTTGTCCCCGAATCTCTTAGGCCGGTTTCCCGTACTCATTGCCCCGATTTATCTCGAAAGAGACTAACCGGGTCAAGCGGAGTCTAATCCTTTCAACTCTTTGAGCTCATTTTTATTCTTTTTTTATTCTTTTTCCCCGTGAGCTTCTTTATCCAAACCTATGCTACCTGGACACGGATATGGGTGGCGTATCGGGTGTGGAGATATGAGCGTCCGACTTTAGAAATCTTGAACATTTTAGGCGAAAATGCCACACCCGACACTCATACCCACACCAGTGTCGACACAACATGACACGGGTATTCTTCCTAAATAGAAGAGTCCGGGTTACATAGATCCAAACGAGGTTTCCGGAGGATGATTATTTAGGTTTAGCCTCAAGGGGTTTCCTCGAGTTTGCTACACCGGTTTCCTGGGCTCATTGTCTTATTTCACGAAGTGAATCGAAATAAGAGGTGCCTAATCCGTACTTCTTCGCGAACTCACATTTTATTATATTTTTTTTTTCGAAGAGAGCGGCACACAAGGATACATCACGATAAAATACATCATCAACAATCAATCAAGACGTACCACAAGTGTATAGTATAACACGATTACAACGATCGAACAATAGGCTAGAATGTTTCAAGATTACCAATCGAGAACAAACAAGGGACAAAACAATTCCGTGAAGTCAGTTGCGGGTTCCAATGCCAACAAATCATCATTTAATTTTAAGGAAATCGTCCAATTCATCAAGTACGACGCAATGCACCTTGGGTCGCTACGAAAACAGCCTCCTTGTATAATTACAAGGGTAAGGTCTGCGGACAACTGACCCCCAGACCCCAACCAGTTGGGAATATACTGGGTATGTTGTTGTCCAATTCATCAAGTACATAAAGCATGAAAATTAACAATGATATCGAACGACAATCTTAACTCACCACTTAACCATCTTGGCTTTAAACAAACATCAAGCTTCATGTGGGAAAATCGACACAAACACAAAAACAACAACAAAAACCGGTCAACAACATAACAAATACGAAAAATAAAGCACCTAAAAACGAAAAAAATACCGCCTCCTCTACACTTAAAATAAAGCAATGTCCTTATTACTTGACCAAAAAGCATAGGATAGAGCTCATAATCACACAAGCTTATGCGAGAAAAAACGAAAACAATAAATGAAAATAAGAAAAAAAAAAACAAGCACGAACGAAACAAGAGAAAAAAAAATAAGGAAAATAAAGTGCGTACACTACATAGTGGTGTACCACTGTATGTCCGCTGTTATTCCAGTCTATTAAATAATCCGAAAATTTTCGAGTGCAAAATAAAGTCATCCGAACAATTGTACAATGAAAGCATATCAATCCATAAGCCAACCGGACACTATGACATTTGAAAGCTAAGAGAGGTCAAGAATCCCGCCACCCGGCCTCGGTTAAGGGCCACATGTATGCGTCTCGGAGAAATGATAACGGTGAGTTCACAAACTCGACGAAGACACAAGTATGCTTGAAAGATCGAAAATCGGTCTCGAAGTAGCCAATAATATTCCCCTTAGGCCTTGATATGACCAACTCTACGACCTACTCGGTAAATAATAACCGGCACCATCACAAACATTCGAAACCCGGGCGACTCCGGTAACCACTTACAACACGAAATCGGCACGTCTGGCAAGACGTGCCCTACACACTCGAAAATCACCTAAAAGGATCAAATGTGGGAAACATGGGAAACAACAAAAGTTTTGGGACCAAATTTGCAATTTTCTCCAAATTAAAAATAACGACTAACGTCTTAATGAAGAAGACCGTTAAGTCTTGACGGAGTGGTACCGTTTTGGCAACGAAAAATCAGAAAGGACCATAAATGGCGTGCCTAGGACCAAATGTGGGAAACAGCAAAAGTTTTGGGACCAAATTTGCAATTTTCTCCTAATACTAATTATCCTTAAAAGATGTATTATGTTGAGCAGCTTTTAAAAATCTCAGTTCAAATGAACTCCAACATTAGTATTAATGGAATTGCTCAAGAGTATCATGCATTTGTCCTTTTGGGAATAATTATTAGATATTAATGTGAGTAGGTTTTTTATGAGCTTCTGCATCAACATTTTCTTTTGTTGGGACCTTCTTTACAGTTAGAAATTAAGTGATTTTCAAATCGAAATATTTTACGGTTAGATATGTTATCTAAGAGCCACGAAAAATGTCCTTTGGAATGTGATGGCTTGCATTGCTACTTGCAAACTTGAGTTGGTTTGCTCTCTGACTGTATAAATTCTTCTTTCACTTTTGCATAAAACATTTCCCTTCCAAATTAAATTATTGTGATTTGATTCGAAATGAATACAAATAATATTATCTTGTTTTCGCTATTCATGAATCCTTATTCTGTTCCTTCAGGTCTTGGCTTACGCTCAACAGGCAAGGCAAACTTCCAACTATGAGCAGTCAGCTCTCAATGAGCGGATGCAGGACTACATAAGGCAAGTTGATCAAGAAAGTCGAAGGTCTTTTAGTGGATCTCATGGTTCTCCAAGTAGAGATGCGATGCAGCCTTTTACTAGAGGCTCTCACAAATTGATAGAAGCTGTGATGCACTCTGCTGTTGAGGGAAAGGTACACATTTTATGTTAAAGTGATTGTGATTATGTTCACACTCTCATGAATCTAACTAGCACAATCAGTATTACTGCTGGCTCAAAGATCATAAACGCGCAAGGAAATATAATAAAATTAAGCTGGTAAGTTTTTTATAATTTGGCTCGGGTTGAACTCATCCCCTAAGATTGGTTCAACAGGAGAGGGTTGCCAACCAACATTTATGTTCAACAAAAATAATGAATATCAATTTCACTTTTATGATATTGCAGATTGTGTTTTGTGGCAATTGCTATTCACATTATTCATTTTATGCATTTCACTATATTTTGATCCAAGTTTACTATGGTTGAGTCCAGGTCCTTATAGCAACTAGGACTTTGGTCTTAAGATATGCAGGTACCGCATAACTGATACTTCAATAGTTTAGGTACAAACCATTAAACAAGGATATCTTTCTAAACGCTCTTCCAATTTGAGAGGTGACTGGAAAAGAAGATTCTTTGTTCTCGACAGCCGGGGCATGCTGTACTATTACCGGAAGCAGTGGAGCAGGCCAACTGTAAGTCATGAAATAAGGAAAAAGAAAGAGAATTGGATTTCTATTCACTGTGAGGTTAAGGCTTTTTTCTATCATTTGAAATCCTCTGTTGGTAACTAAATCATGGCATTTTTCAGTTCCAAGGTACAAGCAGTCAGATTACTGCACATAGAATGTCCCCCTCTGAACCAGGTTCGGGGCTGTTAAGTCGGTGGCTTTCATCTCATTACCACGGTGGTGTACATGATGAAAAGTCCGTTGCACGTCACACGGTGAATCTGCTCACATCGACAATAAAAGTTGATGCAGAACAGTCGGATCTAAGATTTTGTTTCAGGATTATTTCACCTTCTAAAAACTACACTCTGCAGGCAATTCAATTTGAATCTGTTATTTTTGAGTATTGTCTTTTTCAGTAAATCCCTGAAAAATGGATTATCTTGTTGTCATCTTTTCTAACAGTTGTGCAATCTCTACGGACATAATGCTTGGCGTAATTTTGATATGTTCCCGCTTGTGCAGGCAGAAAATGCTGCAGATCAAATGGATTGGATTGATAAAATAACAGGAGTTATTACCTCTTTGCTGAGTTCACAATCACCTGAAAGGGTAACCATAATAAAATCCTAGACTGATAAGGGCGCTGTTGGATATGCTTTCGCTTTGAAATTTACTTCCTTCTAGAGAAAGATGATTTGGAATGAAGAATGAGTTTTTCTTGAATTTCAAAAGAAAATTTTATTAAAAATAGTTAATTTAATATAAGATCATAAAATTGTGAAGGAAACTGAAAATAAAAAAATGATATGCAATTTGAGGAGGATGAGGAGAAGGAGCACACTAAATTTCCCCCCTTCGTTTCTTTTTATTTTCACTTTCACGACCTTGATTGATTTGTATGTTGGCAGTTCTGCTTTAGTCCGGTTAGTGAAAATAGTTCCTTTGCAAGTCCTGATCATAATATAAGGGTCATCCAAGAATGCACATCGGAAAAGGATCATATAGCAAGAGGCATGTTGCGAGTGAACAGAAGTTCCCTACAGCTGCAGAACAGCTTAAAAAATGAGAAGCCAATTGATGCATTGAAGAAATTGCCTGGTAACGATAAATGTGCCGACTGCGGTGCACCTGAACCAGATTGGGCCTCGTTGAATCTCGGGATTCTTATATGTATAGAATGCTCTGGCATTCACCGTAATCTTGGCGTGCATATATCCAAGGCAAGTAGTTCTAGTTTTTATGCACATAAGCTGCATGTTTGTGGTTATTTTTTCACTCTATTCATTACTAAAAAAATGTTTAAGGTATATACCACTGGGGTTGGGTGGGGTTTATGTTGTGTGTCTAGGGTACCTCCATTAGTCATGTTAGCATCGGGAAAATTCAAAACACATGCATTGATAATATGTAAAGAAGGTTCACATAGTAAAAGTAGGAACTTCTTTTCTAGATCTTCCAGTGGTAACTATATGACTAATGATATCCTCGAAAAATCATTTTGTGATCATCTTATTTCAAATGCCTTCGGTTCTTTATGGATTAATACTTACTTCCCTCATTTGTTCATTTGCCTAGTTTATTAGTATGTATATGTATATGTGTTGATTTATAATACTAAATTAAAAGTGAACGACAAAATTACCTTAGCACTTTTATCCCTAGATGAACTCAAATTAGTCAAACCACCTCCCATATCCATGGCACTCTTTCATTCATATATTCAAAATTTAACATCGTATTCGGAACACCATTCTTATATCCATTTACACATTAGTTGTGGTAGTGGGTCGTTTCATATTTTAAGTTAATGTTAGATGTGTCATTTCGTGACTCTTTGGTTAAGAAAACTTTTTAGGTAGATTTATATAGGTAGAGGAAGGAGTGCGGTCCTAGTGGGTGAAGCTCATCTTAAAAGGGCGAGCCTAGTTGCCATCTTAGTGAGGTTCCACCCCAAAACAAATTGCCAATGGTGATGGTAGGAGTAGTCCACTAGGCTTATAAACTAGGCTCATTTGCCCTAGAGAATCAGTGTGGGACAACTCAGTGATATTCCTAGGCATCCCCTCACTTGTGACTCCTTCATAGGCCCAATTTCTGTCCTAACCGCGGTCTATGATTTATTTAGGCACGGAACGGTAGATCAACTCGTTGTAGGTACTAGATCAAGTCCAGGGACGGGAGTGAAACGCACCTTAAGAGGGCGAGCCTAGTTCTCACTTTATTGAAGTTTCATCCCAAAATCCAAAACCAATTGGTGATTGGTGATGGGAGAAGTAGCCTACTAGACTTATAAAATAGGCCCGTTTGTCCCGTAGAATTGATATGGTATAATTCACTAGTGATATTCCATTATTAGTCACTCATGAAATCATGTTGATGATCTAAAAAGTGAAGAAATGTTGTGGTGAAAGTACAATACTTCAATTCAAACCAACAGTTGATATTTCCTTTTTCCTCCCCGAGTGATTTCCTTCAGTGTCTTTCATTTCTTGTTAGCTTCACCGTAGAGAAGTGGCCATTCAATATAGTATGGAATTAAGTGGGGAAAACATAATTGTTAATGCGGTTGTAAACCAAATAACTGAACCACGTCGTATCTTTTGGTAAATTCTCTTGAGTTCTATCTTTTCTGATTTTGGTAAAGTCAATATATATATGGAGTTGAATGCATTTTATGTGTGAAGTATCCGTGTGATATGCTTAAACAAGTGTTGGATGCGTTATATATTTGGACCTGTTACCACAGCTTTTTTTGTTGATTTTAATGCAGGTAAGATCCCTAACTCTGGATGTGAAAGTCTGGGAACCTTCTGTGATTACTTTGTTCCAGGCCCTGGGTAATGTCTTTGTAAACTCAATATGGGAAGGGCTGTTGAGAGCAAGTAGAACTGTTCAGGCAGATGAACTACCAATACGGTAAAAATTGCAAGAGTGTACTTTACTTGAATGTTAGATGCTTTGTCTATGACAGGTGTAACTTTGTTTCTGTAGGTCATTTGAATCTGATAAGTACAAACAGTTTTTCAGCAAACCACATCACAATGATCATATATCAGTCAAAGAGAAGTTCATTCAGGCCAAGGTATACTCCAAACATTCAATTCTTTTACCCCTTTCGAGTATTTTAATATTTAGTAATATAGTTGGCTTTTGTGGTACTCCTACTATGATATGATTTCACTCATTTCTCATCAATACTTTTGTCATCCCGAAGCAATAATGTGCTTATTTTTTTCTCCTTAATACTTGGAAATTTGGAGAGAATAAAATGTAGTGCAAAACAATGTAAGTTCAACAAGAAAACGTGGAAGCCAATTTGAACTTTCGGAGGAGCGTCCCACTCCCCTCAGAATTCTTTCATTAATATAGTGTTCGTCCAATGAGTACAAATAAGAATTACGCGATAAGACTCCCTCTTACCTAACCTACTCTCTACTCCACTACCCCACCTATTTTTCTGGGCACGACGTGGACTTGAACTACACATATGGTTCACTCCAAGCAGTATGAGATGCTCGTCCCAAGCACTCAGTAGAAAAACAAACGATTATGTACCAACTTGTTGGAATCCGAACATTATCTCTCTATAAAATCTAAATAAAACTCACGAGCTCTCAGTGAAAATTCTCTAAACTCTCAGAGGGTGCTTGAATACTAAATATCCAATCACTTTTAACTAACTCAAATTTAACTCAACCCAACTCTTCTCAATATTATCATAATTGAATAATACCAATCAATCATCGTCACACATCACATGAATTTTATTTAACTATTTATCAACTTAAATAATTTTAACTACTCATTACTTCCAATCACCTCTCTCTTACTTTTATGTCAAATCAATTAATGATATTATTTTTATTATTATTTTACTCAAACTCAAAAGCACACTCAAAACCTTACTCAACCAACTTTTTTGAAATTAACTCCGATGAACTAAAAAATTCAATCAAAACTCAAACAAATTTGTATCCAAGCACCATCAGTATAAACAATTGAATAGCTCTCTCAAAACATAAAACTCGTTAAACTTAACTATATACAAATCTATAAACATTATGTAGGTTCGTAAAAATTTGGGAGCTTTCAAATCTTCGCGATCTTCACGTTTAGCTTTGGAAGCTAAATCCTCATGCCTTGCAAGTGCCAATGCACGAATATCTTCTCCGGATTCAAAGATTGAGACATCTTCCTTCTTTCAATATTGTGGAACTATCTTCGACTGTTTCTTTGCTAACTTTTGAAAATATGTTGTGATCGATTTTTTTCTTTATTGTTTGATTTCCCCAGATTACACGTTTTCAGCTCCCCAAATATTTATTATTGCTCCTTTTATTCTCCAATTAGAAAATAAATAAGATATGAAAACTTAAGATAGAGAGATCTTCCATTTTTCTTCGTATCTTGATCCAGATCCAGACGAGAGGTAAGGAACGGGTGTTCATTTCTTGTATGTAGAAGGTAAGCGATGAAAAAAGAAAGTCGCTTGGCCGATAGATAGGTCAAGAAGCGGGAAGACTTAGACGATCGGTCAATTCTTTCTTTTAGCGCCCCGGAGCGTCTGAGGTTAGTAGTTAGCCCGTCAAAGTCAAGCGGGAAGGTAGACTCGGACTAAGGTAGAGCTCTTGAACAGTTCAAGGGTATTCCCCAAAAATCGAGTTTAACATAACAGGGCAACAACCCTTCGAATTAGGCCTCTGGAATGAAATACCTCGCGCTTTAGCAAGAGGGGGTGATTTTAACCTTTCCCGATGCATCATGAAGTACCAGAGCGTGATAAATATTGGGCATCTTGCCCGGCGGAAAGGCTACATCTAGTACCGGACCAATGATTTGGACAATACGCCCCAGGGGTTTAAGTCCAATCTGCGTAGCTCTTCGGTGTGGCTTTCTTTAAAGAGACTATCCTCCTCTGCAGCTATCTCCTACAAGCTTGTTCTTAATTCCATGTTTCTATTAATTTCAAGAAACACAAAGATGGTAGTAGGACACTAGTGTACTACACGAGTGTTTGAAAAAAAAAAAATTGTATAATAAAGAATGGATAAATAAATGTACAACAAATATTTAATAAAGTGGTAACTATTTAAAATGACACATGTTTTTACTCTCAAATTGTCAAAAAAATGACTTCATGTTTCTTTTGTTCAAATTGTTCCATAACAGACTTCATGTTTTGGGAATCCTGAGTGAGTTTTGTTACACTGTATTTAGTTACTTGGACAAGGGGGAAAGTCAGAAACTCCGTGTTTTAATCCTAATGGGAATCTGTGATAGAGTAGTATAAGAAAAGAATAAACAAAAATAAATTTAAATAAATTGAAAAAGAAACAGTTCTAATAGGAGTAAGCGCCGAACTGAAGAGAAACTTCCGAAGGTTTCGACTCTATCGTTTCCTCCATCTGATTTGTGATTCCAGTGCTCCGGACCAAGTCATGGAGTTAAGGGTTTAAGAAAAGCGACCATTTGACATACATTTAACTTAATGAAAAAGGAATAAGCCAACAATCTCAATTGAACACAAGATAACTCTAACAGATAAGTCAGTCTATTTAAATAGAGCCATAACACTTAATATAATCCTAATGGGTACTGTAACCCTACTGGCCCAAAGCTCAATTAATTATTCAACAAAATAAGATTTGCTCTTCTATCAGTGCATGCACTGGCCAAATATTAAATTGATGAACTTGTATTGGCATTTGATCATCAGAATCTTGGGGTATCTCTTGTTTTATTATCACTTCTGATTGGTGGGCTGTAATCAAAAGAAGAAATATTCTTTTCCCTCTCTGGTTTGGATTTTTAGCTTCTGGCTTTTAACCAGTCTAACTGAGCTGTATTCCAGTATGCAGAAAAACGTTTTATTCACAAACTGAAGGACACCCAGCAGCATCTCCTTTCAGTGGCTCAACAGCTGTGGGAAAGTGTCCGATTAAACGATACAAAATCTGTGTACCGGCTGATTGTCACTTGTCAGGTCGACGCCAATGCAGTCCGTGGTCAGGCATCTTTAACTTTAGCCAACGTAATGAGATTGCATGATCATGAGGATTCTGATGACAACGATGACTTCCATGATGTGGTAGATGATAATGATGATGGTGGTAATACCTTTTCAAAACCATCGCTGGTGGGCCCACAAGGAGAAAATGAGAACCCGTTTGTCGACGATGCGCTTCTCGATGGATGCTCGTTGCTCCACCTGGCGTGTCAAACGGCAGATATTGGCATGGTTGAGCTTCTTTTGCAGCACGGGGCAAATGTTAATGTTTGTGACTCGAGGGGCCAAACCCCACTGCATCACAGTATTATGAGGAGTAGAATTGGAATTGCAAAGCTGTTGCTCATGAGGTACTTTTTCTGTTTATTTCATGGCTTTATGTGTTATTTTTTTGCAATTTTGTGGTCAACGAATTGAAAATATAGCACTAAGAAGATAGGCTGATTTTAACTTGGTGACTTTTTTTCTCTTAGCCCTTTTAGCTTCTAAAGTTGCAGTTCTTATCATACATTTTTTTTTTTTTTACCCTTTTCATAGATCTTTAGGGTATTTTAAACTTTATGAGGATAATAGTAGTCCTATATCTTTGTTGGTGTGGCAACTTATGTGCTTCTAGTCATTAAACAGTTTTTCAAAGTTTTGACTGAATTTTCTAGATGCGAAGGAAGGTCCTCATTTTCGAGCATCTATTTGGCCTTCAATGGCATTTTGGGAATAGTAAATTGAGGTAGCACCTAAGTTTCAAAACTGTGTTGTATGTCATTTCTAGGTTAAGTGAAGGAGCTTGTGTTGTATCAGCATCTTGTAACTATATAGAGGCATTAGGAGGCAGTTATAAGTACCAGGGCTGATTGAATAATGAGAAAAAAAACCCAAATATCTTTTAGAACTATGAGAACTTGATAATCGTGATTAGCTCTAAAGTTTTGCTTGCCCCATGAATATTTGACTCTATATTACATATTGCAACTACTTCAAAGAGAATTATTTATTAAATAAATTTAAAATCTAACAAGGGTATTTATTAGTAACTCTTAAGAATTTATTTGATAGAATTTATTTGTGGCTAGACATGTCGGTTATTGAATAAAACTATATAGTGCTTTGTCAGCCCTACTGCTGATTGTCACTATCTGCATATTATGGCACTTCCTGTGGAAGTTTCAGTCAAGGTTCAAAGATTTTAACTTTAGATTTTATTACTGGAGGTGTGAGGTTCTGAATTGAGGTCTAATATATGGTACAAAACTTTGTACCTAAGTTTATTTTATGAGAAATGAGAGAGAAAGAGATAACAAATGATAGGCTGATTAGCAATATTCAACAAACAATAATTTACGTGACTAATATTTAACTAAATTTCCGGGTTTATGATGTGGGAACAAGATGTGGGTTTGTGGATCTTGATGTGTCACTTAATCTAAACCTATGTTTTAAGTGCATGATTTGGGATGTCCTTACATGATCCAATAGTTTTTAAATTTATGGGCCATTAGCAGTAGGGCCGTTCCTAATCACTAGACACTAGGCTATGAATCATATTTCCTTACGAGCTTTGTCATTGTTTGTCTATATCATCTGGGAGAATTTTTTGTTATATATTTTGTGATATGATTTTTCATAATTTATTCAGAGGAGCCGATCCTGAAGCCATTGACAAAGAAGGTAGAACTCCTTCACAGCACCTTGCAGAGTCCTCCATTGATGATGTCGAGCTCCTTGCCCTTATGAAAAATGCTCATAATCATAGATAGCAGAATACTATTTGCTGCTGAGTTACAGCTGGAAACTCAGTGATATGATAATGTAGTGTGGTTTATGGTGTGACGAGCCTTTTTACAAACAAAAGGCGATGATAATCTCATCATACCATCGTTTGATAGCTTAAACTTGATTGTTTCTTTCTTAGAGTTATTTGAGCCCTTTCGAGCCATGCCTTAAGGTCATAGACCTTAAAACTTTTATTTTTCTTTCCTTAAATTGATTGAGAGACGAGAATCGGCCAATGTGAGATGTCCCCTGTGTGATATCCCTGTAATTGCAGATCATGTAGGAATGAAGTTCCATGTTGTATAATCATATAATGTATGTAACTGCTAAGTTATTTGGTCAATTAAAAGAGAAACGGATGTTTCAGTTTGTGGTGGGGGATAAAAGCAGTTATAGGATGAGCAATGAAAATTGATTATACTAGCGTATAACCCGTGCGATGTACGGGGAGCAGTATTAGTATGTCTACGTGTTTGGAAAAAATAAAAATAAAAACAAAATATTTTATATATTATTAAACATCTTATCGGTACACAATATTCTTTGTTTGGTTTTTGGCAAATGATCATCACCACAAACTAATATTTTCAACATTGACGATTGGTAACGCATGAGACAACCACATATAACTGACTATGACTAAACACTATTTTTTTTCAAAAACAAACCAACATGTGATATAGATTAATTTTGACTCTTATTTATCGTCATGACATAGGAAACAATAAGTGAAAACTATATTTGCTGAATTTAAAAGGTATCTTTACATTGGAAGGAGTAAGCATCATTCGAGGAACCAGTAGCTTATCACCCGAATGATCTCCAGTTAAGTGGATAGCTTTGTAACAACCAATCGAGTCTCGTTGCACAACCACATAGAGATGTCCATGTTTCTCATGAACATTACTGGTACTTATCTTCAAATGCAACTCATGGTTAGACACTCCCAAACACTTGATAGTATTTAAGAACTCAGACATGTGGAGATTATATAAAAAACCGTTATCTGACTTGCTTGTTCTGTTCGAATTAAATATGGCCGTAAGCCATATTCAATCCTTTATGTATTGATTGATGGACTCAAAAACCTCCAACGTAAGGACTAATATAGCTCGGTCCTTCAAATAACTCAGATCATCAATTGCATCTTTATACATTGTGTGCTTTCAACTATTTGAGTTATAGGATTATCAGAGGGTGCAAGAAATATATCATTAGGTATGCCTAAAGTGTCACATCCATCATTTGAACACCCAATAGTTCAATCTCCATTGTTGGCTATCCAATTTGCGAAACGAGTTGGCTCTTCATGTTCCTCCGTATCATCAAGACTTTAAAGGCGCATGTTTTTTTGTTAGCTTCAGAATTGTACAGTCTCTCCATATGTTAGAAGCATTAATAGTTGCATTAACAATGTATGAACGGCTCCCCTTTTCAATGACAGGAACGATCTGACGAATGTCTCCACTAAACACAACTGGCTTGCCTCCAAATGGCTTACGGCTATTCAAAGAGTCAACTGCTCGCATTATAGCTTAGAGGGACGCTTCTATAGCTTGGAAGCAATATTTGTGCATCATTTGGGCCTCATCTCATATTATCAAAGAACAATGTGTTATTAACTAGGCAAAAAAGTTTGCCTGATTTATCTCGCACAATGGATTCTCATGCAAAATCAAGGATATGGGAAATCTTGAATGTGCAGTTCATATGGGAAATCTTGAATGTGCAGTTCTTCTACTAGAAAACAAAAGAGAAACTATTCCGCTTGATGCAACACAGAGAATTATCGTCCCTTTGGATCTTAATTTCGCAGCTAAAGTCCTCCACTTGTAGGTTTTGCCAGTTCCACCATAAACATATATATATATATATATATATATATATATAACACCTCATATTCTAGATTCACCAATTGTGATAATCTTTGAATAACGCCGCTTTAATCATTTGTCATATGCGTGAAGAGTGCATCGTGCTCAACAGCTAATGCCTTTCGATCATAATTCAATTCATCCAATATCAAACGATTAAAATTTGTTTTAATACTATTATTGTCCAGAAAAGGCATAGTAGAGATGTCTCGAAGAGTCGATCCACGTTGCCTCAATAATGTCTCAAGCTCTGGAAGAGCTAAATTTTTTATTTCGTCCTCGTTCAACTTCAAACTTAAAGATAAAAATCATTTAGGAAAAAAAAAAACAGATAAAGGGACATATAAACAATGATACATTTTATGAAGATACACATAATACTATTCAAATAATATGGAGAATGTTAAAAAAAAAATAAAAAAACAATTCTGCTTACCATCATTGTTGAAAAGATGACGTTGCTTGTAAAGAATGTTGTCGGATAGAAATCCCGACACCTCTTCCACACTTCCTCCGGTCTACCTAATGACCCAGAACAACAATGCTGCAAACATGTGCCTAATAGAATCAGCAGAAGCCCTTTAACTTGCGTCAGTTATTCCATCAGTGTACTCATGATCATCACCCAATAAATATGAGCATAGCAAGAATCATGATATGAAAAATATTGGACATCAACTATATTTATATAATCCTCGTGGCAAGTTGCTTCACAAAATACATTGGTCCAGCACCTCAAATAATAATTATCACTAGAACATGTCTGAAACGTACTATACTTGTAACACCCCGCTAGCTTTCTAAAATCAGAGTGCGATTTTCGCAAATCCTTTTCTAAAGTTTACGTTTTAATTTGCGAAACATATTTCGGGATGCTACATAAAATATTTCTTTTCTAAAAATCCATTAACTATAAACATATTTATGAAAAACGGATTATCATTATAAAACAAGCGCGTGATACTGTATAAAACT